TTCCTATCCAGCCGCGTAAAAATAAACTGTTCAAAACAAAACAAAACACAAACGGTGCGTTTGGAAATTCGTCAATAATAGAAATGAAATAACCTCCCAACAAAAGGGGAATGATTGAATACAAAAGTTTGATTATACTCCAGCAGATAGATTCGAATACAAAGAGCGGGGAATTGAAGCCGCTCCTATGGGGCACATGCAGGCCAACTTTGTACAAAGCTACGCCGATAATGGTGAAAGCTCCGATAGCGTATTGAAAAGTACACGTCACGACTCCACGTGGTTGCATTGTTTTCTATCTATTACTGAATGAGTTTGCGATCCAACTTTAAAGCCGGCGCGCGCGAATGGAATAGCACATCGATAAATAGCACAGCAATAAACATACAGTGACTATGATTCACTGGTAAAAGGAACAACGAGCATTCGTTCAGACACTACCTACAAGCATAATATACTAAACGTACAATTTCAAAAAAAACACTAACGGCTGTGATTAGCGGAATATTATCAAACACCAAGAATAATGATAAAGTAATAAAATCGCGCTAAAAATCGTTAAAAGTGTTTTATTTGATTATTGGAATTCGTGAGAACTTAAGAAATAAATATGGCTGCAACCTGTCAGTAATGTCTCAATAGCGCAAGTTTTCAAAACAACTGCAGGTGATTAATAATGTAGCTACCTGAGAAAGGATGTGAAATAGAAAGAAGATTTTTATTAACTAATAACAAAATACATCAAAGGAAATGAAAATATAATGAAAACAAAAAGAAACGATTACACGCATGATTGATAAGTTCAGTCGGTTATATTGTTTTTGCGTATTTAATGCATCATCTGTAAAAATGTGTCTAAGGAGCTCGATTGGTTAGCTAATTCAGCCTGCGATCGTGAAAGTTAAATAACTTTCGCAATGGTCGGTCATTGGTAGGGTTACCAAAAAACGATATTTTAAGCTCCTCCGTGCTTCGGAAGGCACGTTAAAGAGTTGGTTCCGGCTGCATCTGTAGTCGTTAGTCCCACCAATCCACAATGGGGCGACGTGGTAGGTCAAGCCCAGTCTCCCTATTCTATCCATAGGGAACGCCTGTACCCCGGAAGTGGGGACATTAATAAGCTGTTGATGGTGATGACTATATGTACAAACACTTAACGCCCATATGTACTTATTTAAACCTAGAGCAAACCTCAGAGCCTGACGGAATTTTGTAATAATCAACAATACAATGTGTCTTAATTGTATTGTAAGAAGGATCAAAATTTTTGACCTCCAAAAATCCTTTGCCATGCTCTCGTTTCGGTTGACGGCCTTCACAGTTTACAGCCTGCGATATTTTTGTAATAGCGCTTTTTAATCCGCTTCCTTTTTAATATTGCACATACATTTACTCTGATTCCGAATTAATTAACTGAAGCGTTGTGCGTGAAATTGGTTACCGAAACAATTTTTTCATAATAATGGAGCTAAATTAAAAAGGTATTTATTACGGGAATATCTTCCTTATAATGGAATATTAGGTTTATATTTCCCAATGTATTTTTTTTCTGAAGTGAGTTAGGTAAGACTACCATAAAGTGAAAGTATAATATACAGGGTGAAATTGAATGTTTCTATGAAACTTCGTGAGATTGATGGGTTACATGTATAGAGTATGCCTGATTTTTTTCAGATTTTTGAAAATAATTTTTTTCGTTTTTTAATTTTTTATTTGGGTTTTTTTTTGTCAATCTTCCTTATGAGTAATTATTCATTTTAAACACGTCTACATAGAAGTTTTAAAGCAACTTAAAATAAGCACTACTAAAAAAACGGAAACTTAATGAATGCCTTCATTATGCCTCCAGTCGAGATCAGCGCCGGTCGGGGCGACGACCGGCGGCCGCCTGTAGGTACCTAACTACACGCACAGATGACTCGGCGCTTACCTACTCGCTTTGATCCACACTATTTAAAAACAATACAATAAAATAGTCTTAGATGCTATATTATAATTATTTATTCACTGATACACAATACCTTTGAATATTATTTCATAAAGCACAGGTAATTAATCAATAAAATAAATCTTCTTAAAATTAAGAGCAAATCGGTATAACTTACGAGCTTAGTGAAGGAAGGAACTCTTCGTGTCTGATTTGCCCACGTCATGAAATTTCGAACACATTTAATCACAGCCACAGTCACACATACACACACACACACATAATAATATGTTGTTTTGCGGCAAGCACGGGCGGGCGGCGCGCCGCACGCTGGCAACTAGCGCCGGTTGCGGCGTCTTTGATGATGTGAATTCCGCCCACCTCCCCTCTTCCCCGCACGCGGACGTTTGCTTTGATTGCATGCAAAACGCAGTCGCAAGTATATCAATCGCGCGTGAGCGTGTGCATCTTTTGACTTGGTGACATACACTGTGATAATTTCATTATGCCTCGGTATACAAACCAAGAATATTTAGAGATGGTGTACTGCTATCGCGAGTGTGACGAAGTAGGTTTGGTTTACGAATGAGTCCCTAAACCATAGAAGTTGCATTTTGTGCAGTGAGTAGTGATAGGGACACTTTAAAAAAGGTGAAAAGACACGTCCGCAAACAGGCAACCTTTGTTTGCAGCAAAATGGTGGTTTAGAGCAACAATTTTGCAGATAATAATTTAAGTCTCTTTTTATTGCTAGTGTAAATACTTTTTGATTATTAAGGCGCGGTACAAAGACCAAAGGGGAGAACATTAAATTCAAATAACTGTTTCTTGTATCTTTTGGAATCCCAATAAAAACGCAACCATGCTCTGTCATCTCTATCGACAGGCAATAAAAAATATGCGTCTTTTAAATCTATAGTTGCCATATAATAATTTTTATCTAATAATTTTAATGCCGTGCGATAATCTTCCAATTTAAAATGAGGAACCTGAATAAATTTATTTAATTCTTTTAAGTTGAGAATGAAACGATGCTTCCCGTTAGATTTAGGTACAGTGAAAATAGGGGAAATAAATTGTTTTTCACATGGAGTACAAGGCGATATAAAATCGGCCTCGAGTAATTCAGCAATACAATCGTCGATTATTGTCATTTCATCAGGGGTATATGACCTTAGTTTTTGTGTTCCGGTTTGATGGGGTTCAGAAAGAAACGGTATTTTATAACCCCTTATCTACGACAGAATTATTTTGTCGTTTGTTATATTAAGCCATTCGTCATAATAAAATTGTAGTCTACCCGCGACAGTAAAAAGTTCGGTATTTTGTACCTCTGATGACGTAGTTAACGTCTCCAATGCTGGTGACTGTACTGGCTGGTCCTGGGTTGGTTGGCCCCGCGGTGGCGGCCCCGCGGCGGCGGCGGCGGCGGCAGCGGTGGCCCTTGGCGCCGAGGTTGTGGGGGGTTCACTCGCTGCTCGGCGGCCGCTACTCGCGGTGCCCCCCTGGCGTTTAAAGTCTCCGGTCGACGAAATCCAGATGTGCTGGGTTGAGCGATTGGCTGTTGGTAGTACCTACTACTTGCTGTAGGCTTCAACTCTAATGCGGACTTAGATATGGCTTTCAATGACTTCAGATGATCATGTAAATCGGAACCAAATAAATATTCATCGATTTTTGTATTTTTTATGTGTCTACACACGTAAAAACGTCGAGACATAGATAATTTAATTAAAAACTTATATATTTTTTCCATATGAGAAAAAACATGGTGTGTTATGTAAGAGTACTTATATCCTTTTTTAAATATCCATTGTAATACAACTACCGACCGACTGCTTACTTTTTTTTAAGTGGGTAGCTGATTTTAGCTGATTTTTCCTAAGCAAAAATGCTTCAATAGAATTTAACTTTGTATGTTATATCAATGATAGAAAACTCACCAACATTTTCTGGGTCACTCATTAAATTAATTTGATGCTCCTCATTATCGGTTGATAACAAATGTTCCGTTCGTTCGTCCTCCGAAGAGGACGATTCTATTCGCCGACCTTTTTAAACCAACTTTTTAACCTTTTTAACGATTTTTTCCACTAAGTCACTATCATCTCTACTCGATTTCCTCTTTCTTTTACCCATTTCTAGACTTTTTCGAAATTATATAAAAAATACTGTGGACGACACCAAAACGAGTAATGAGTAGGAACAGTGAGTGCCGGTAGATGGCGGGCTGCCATAGTCCATAGATAAAATGAATTTGATGTATTATTTTTTTAATTCAAAAAAGATTAAGTAACTCTTAAATGTGGTGAGGACAGCATCATCTCGTGAGCTGCTGCATGTAATATGTAATCATCTTCGGGAGAGATATGAAGTATAATTAATTAATAACAGTACACACGGGGCAGCAATTCATGTAACGTGAAATTTAAATGTAATATATAAAATTCTCGTGTCGCGGTGTTTGTGGTTAAATTCCTCCGAAACGGCTTTCCCGATTGTCATGAAATTTTGTGTGCATATTGGGTAAGTCTGAGAATCGGACAATATCTATTTTTCATCCCCCTAAATGTTAAGGGTAATCCACCCCAAAATGTTTTTTTTAAATTTTAGATATCCTTTTTTTAATTTTTTTACGATACAGCATTAGTAAATACATACAACCCTAAAGTTTCACTTTTCTACCACCAACCCCTATTTTTTATGGCGGTACGAAGTTCGCTGGGTCAGCTAGTATTATATATTAGTACACATGATCTTATATCTAATTAACGTCTGCGTATTTCACTATAATCAGTTGTAAAACTAAAAAAAAAAACTAATAATTCTGAGCTATTGTGACTGATTTAATATTAACGAAGGTGGAATTCAGTATGTCTATCTAAGCAAATTTTTAGCTTTAAATTTTTATTTCTTGCCTGGAACAAATAAGAATGTGTAACTAACAGAAACCTTCCATTCTTCCTTCTCTCTAACCTCCATGTAGATAATATTGATGACTCCTTTACTCGCCGAAAAAAAGGTCATACGTTGCAAAGGTTATTATAAAAAGATTATATTAATAGGTACTCACCATATTTAGGGCAAGCGATGCAGAAAATGACGGCCAGGAAAATTCCGACCACCTCTCCCCCGAGCCCTTTGCTGCCCATTTTTTCCTTTTTTTTAACCCACACTGGCTTGTACCGACATCTTTCTAGTCCACTTTGTTCAATCACCATGAAATCCGCGCAATTATCGTCCTTCTATACGGTACTGATATTGACGCTGGCATTGTCCCAGCTTTTTGTTATGCTTTAAACTTTTGTGTGGGCAGTGAAGCTTTTGACACGCTGTCACATCTGAAACAATGATAAATGCATGATATTATTAAGTGTTTTTTTTTATTCAAAGCAAATTTTTCATCATAATTAATAATTATATTTTCCCGGAATCAGTATCGTCTTATTGAAACTTTTAAACTTTTTAATAAAGCGATTTAACTGTGAACTTTTTGTGATATGATAGTTCTGCCTTTTAAATCATTTTCTGTGAAATGAAATTGGCATCCGCTGATATGCATAATTATATTATGACATTAAAAGTTCTGCGATTTGCGATACAAAAGTGTATTACTTCCTAATAAAAAATATTTGCCTATCATTCCGTCCTCCACCGAGAAAAAATAAAAGAAAAATACAAAAAAAATAAAAACATTTTTACGCTACTGACGCGCTTGTGGCTTAGAAAACGAGGCGAGCATTTAACATAGTGTTACACACAATGCCCAGTCTCATGTAATTATTTGTTAGACACGTTACCACTGGAAGTGACCTGAAAAGGACGACGTGTATTGTACAAAGGCGCCCGAGGCAGAAATTGTATTGTTGTGACGTTGCTTTATACTCGCCGCGAGTGTCACTTGTGTTCGCCATTTTGGCTGTGTGCTAGGTGGCAGCGGGAGGCAGAGCGAAAGCGGGAGCTTTAACTGATAAATAGTTCTATCTATCTGGTGGGCAGTTGATGGGATATTTGATCAATTATTTAATTTTTTTAACGCTTATAATTAAAACTGTTTTACACTTAAATGTGTAATTTTTTTTTCTTATTTATAGACAACCTTTATACGTCAAGTTATAGTTAGAGCGTGCTTAGCTTGGACACTAAAATAAATTATATGCATTTTTTTGTAGGGACGATCTAAATTGTTCAAACAAGCCTAAAATATCTAAAGAGAAACATTGTTACTTAGGTTTTCATGCACACCACTCATTAAATAGAGAAACATTATATGAAAATATTTTCAGAGTAATTTTCAATTGGACTTGCAACAGCTAGCATGATCAGTTTTGCGCAGCTCCATATTTGTCCCGTAGATTCACAAGACTTTTAGATATTATGTTTTCCGCATTAAAATTTGCATTTAAATAATAACAAGCAAATAACAGCATCGAGAATAAAGTCTCATGATTTTTTCCAAGTGCAATATTTGTGACTCTACTGGAGTATTAATTTTAAATCTTTAAAATTACCTAATAATTAAAATATAATTTTAAAATTAACCGGGCTCTACGAGGTAGGGGATTGGGTTCAGGCCACTGCACACTGGCACACCTTCTGCTGCACCATCTATCTCCGCTGGACTGGACTCCACTTACAACCAAGATTAGGTGGAGCGCAGTAATTTCTTGCGCCTCGTATAAAAAAATATAAGAAAACAGTCAAATAATTAAAAATATTCATCTAACGCGTTAAACTTTTCATGGCAATTGATAATGCGAAATTTTGGACCCATTAAATGCTTCATCAGGTTGAAATATTTCATGCTTCCGCAACTTTAGCGATATTTACTTCTTCACGCTTCCCGCTGTCAATGACGTGGCACCCTTAAGCTTTGTTGTTACGAGACATCTATTTCATAAGTGTTTTTCCTTAAAACCGCTACTATGAATCTTTATAAAAACCCTTTAGCTCATTCGCTTGTCGTGTTAGATATAATACAGACATGAAAGTGGACGCCTTCCGATGTTTATGTATAAGCTTTGGCATTGATGGAACTATGTCTAGATGGATGACTTACATAAACATGACTATAGACTTTCGGAATATAACATAATACTTTTTTTAACATTTGCGATATGGTCAAATTGATATTTTTTTATGACCATTATGTTTATTTTTAATTAAGTATTTCGTCTCGATGTGAGATGCATATGGTCGGATGTCTGATTTATTAACTTTTCAGGAGTGTCAAATCAAAATCTATTAAGAAATTTCAAATAAACTTACATTTATTGTTCTTTTAGCTAAATCAATAAATACTTACGTTACAGTAAAATTTTATGCCTCTTATTATTTATGTTTATAATTAACATATCAATAGTAATAGTTATACTCTTTATGAAAAAAGATGATACCTGTTACGTGACTATCAATATTGCTAGTGGCAACACTAACGTCATGGTGAATGAACGACAGCGTCACATCCAGTCGGTCACGTTTGACAGTACACGACACACTTCGGAACGAGCCGTCTTCGAGTAAGGTTAGTGATATTTGATTTTTATGATATTTTGATAATTATGATATCCGTGAGAGTTTTCTGTAAATTAAACATTTGGTTTGTATCTTGTTGTTTTAAACTTGTATCCCGCACACGTGAAATGCCTTTAACATCTCAGAAGTAGGATCGTTGCGAAATATAGTTTTTTCGTACCATGCCATTTTGACTGTTACCGAATTAATAAATGCTGAAGAATATCGAAAATAATGTTGAAAATGAAATCCTGTAATAATTAGACGAGTTAAGTTCATTTTACTTTGGAAAATAACATGTTGATAAGCGGATGCATATTGATTACCCACTAAAATTCCGATAGTTAAAATATAAAACGGCGACTAATTGGAAAATATACATGGAAATATAAAGTATTATGAACATCATACTAAATAAATGCCGTTAGCCTTAAAAATAATTCACTACTAAGCAGATGAACATAGATTAGATACAACCGTTGGTAGTTAATATCTTAAAGTTATTCAAATAACGACATATTATATAAAAAAAAATACATGTGTTAAGCGACATAGTTTTAACATTTTCATAAACAAAGTATGTTTAAACGAAGAAATAACCTGACAGTGAGCAGATGAATACGGATTTCAAAAATATATACATTTACCCTAGCAAGAATAGTGCAATCAATTGTGAACTGAGAATATATGATCAGGTTTGGAAGTTTCTTAAATAACACAGATTAATTATTGTTGCAACATTCGGTTTATTTTTGTTCGTCGACACCCTTAATTGATCTAAACTTTTTGAAAGAAAACTTTTGTCTTTTTTTTGTTGATCACCCTTCATATACCTAAGGAAGGTAACTACCTACCAAGAGCTCATATGTAAATCCTTTCCGAGTTTTAAGAAAATGAGCGACGCAGATACCGAGGGAAAGCGGCGTGGAGGCTCGCGTCGTAGCCGCGCTCACAGCCGTGGCGACGATCGGAGTACGCGCACGCGACGCAGTCATAGCCGTAGCCTTCGTGAACCTCGTGTTTCATGGACGCGGCCGAGCCATAGTCACAGTCGCAGTCGTGGTGATCGAGCTTCACGGAAGAAACCTACTCGCGGCCACAGTCGCGATGATCGAGCTTCGCGGATGGGAGCTAGTCGCGATTGCAGTCGTCATTGAAGCCGCAGCGCAAGCACTGAATCACTGCGAGAGCGTGAGCGGGAGCTCAGGCGGAAACGAGAACAGCTTGATATACTTGAGGACGAGGTACGTAGGAAACGTTCACGAATACATGACGACGAGCGTGACGTGCGTTCTTTACAGTCGAAACGTGACTGCTCTCGGGCATATAACAAAAACACGCCACAACGCCGCCGTCGTACTCGTGATCGTTGCCTAACAACACCAACATTGGAACATAACCCTGATAACAACGAAATCAGGAACGATAATTGTAAACCCGCATCCGATTTTTTCGAGGAATTTTTAAAAGTGTTGAAGTCCAAGACAGGGCATAGTGAATCGTTCTCTGCCTCAAGTTTAAGTAATGTCATCCGACGAGCATGACTTGAAGCTAGAATTACATACTGCCTGTGACGTTTCTATAGACGTAGGTGAAATGATATCAATCCCGGTAAAGTCTAACATCGCTTACCATGGAAATATTTATGTGAATGGATCTGTGAGGTGCCTTGGAGGACAAGGATATTATCTCATGCCAGGTGAATACCAAATCAGAGGTATTAATTGCAACCTGCTCATTCACAATTTCTCCGCAGCCCCGTTACACTTTAAGGAAAATGTCCTCATTACCCGTGCTAGCTTCATAGGTAATAGTAAACGCGTCTTGCGAATTTCAGATGAATTGCTCCCTCAGGAACCTGTGAGTCCCAAGTGTGGTGAGCAATTGACCGACGACCAGAAACATCAATTTGAAGGGTTACTTAGCTTATTTAAAGACTGTTTTTCAACCGGAATGCACGACTTGGGATTCACAAATGTTACTGAGATGGAGATCCACCTTAAGGATACTACCCCAGTAGTCTATAGGCCATAACGGTTAGCTCATTCTGAGCGAAAGTTAGTTCAAGATATGGTTGGGGATATGTTGAATCATCGTATAGTCCGCGAGTCCCAATCCCCCTATGCCAGTCCAATTGTATTGGTTAAAAAGAAATCAGGAGAGAAACGCCTATGCGTGGACTATCGGGCTCTAAATAGCCGCACAAAACGAGATCATTATCCTTTACCACACATAGAGGATCTGTTAGACCAACTTTCTGGCCAGTCGTTATTTACATCCTTAGACTTGGCTTCAGGCTATCACCAGATTCCCATAGCCGAGAACTCCCGCGAGAAGACGGCGTTTGTAACACCAGATGGACTCTTTGAGTATAATCGCGTACCTTTTGGGCTGGCAAACGCTCCCGCGGTCTTCCAGAGGGCCATTCATAAAGTCCTCTCTAAATCGAAAGTGAGCTACATTGTCATCTATATGGATGATATATTAATACCGTCTAAGTCCTTTGAGGAGGGGCTAGACCGTCTAAAAGAGGTGTTTGGCTTGTTGAGAGAAGCAGGGTTTACGTTAAAAATGGAAAAGTGCAATTTCTTTCAAGAGCGAATTGATTTTCTTGGATTCGAGATTGATAAGAATGGTGTTAGGCCAGGGCTCTCAAAAACCGAAGCGGTGGCCAAGTTCCCAACCCCGGCCAATCAACACGAAGTGAGAAGATTCCTCGGACTTGCGAGTTTCTTTAGGAGGTTCGTGAAGGGATTCGCTGTGATAGCGAGGCCCCTGACGAACCTCCTGAGGAAAGATACACCTTGGAAGTGGAGTGACTCAGAGA